GGCCACCCCAACGATGCCCTTGAAGTGATGTCCCAGTGCCTGGAGGCTGTACGGATCTGGATGGGGAGGAACAGGCTCAAGCTCAACCCTTCCAAGACTGAGTGGCTGTGGCTCCCGGCATCCCGATATAGTCAGTTGACTCCATCACTGACTATTGGGGGCGAGTCATTGGCCCCCACAGAGAGGGCTCGCAATCTGGGAGTCCTCCTGGATATGCAGCTGTCCTTGGAGGAACATCTGACGGCTGTAACCAGGGGGACCTTTTGTCAGGTTCGCCTGATTCGCCAGTTGCGGCCCTTTCTTGATCGGGATTCCCTGTGCACAGTCACTCACGCCCTCGTCACCTCTCGCCTTGACTATTGCAACGCTCTCTACATGGGGCTCCCCTTGAGGAGCACCCGGAGGCTCCAGCTGGTCCAGAACGCAGCAGCGCGGGTAGTGACGGGAGCAGAATGGCGCTCCCATGTAACACCGCTCCTGCGCGAGCTGCACTGGCTCCCAGTTGTCTTCCGGGTGCGCTTCAAGGTGTTGGTTATCATCTTTAAAGCGCTCCATGGCATAGGGCCTAGCTATCTTCGAGACCGCCTGCTGCTACCAACGACCTCCCATCGACCCGTGCGCTCCCACAGAGAGGGCCTCCTCGGGGTGCCATCAGCCAGAAATGTAGGCTGGTGACCCCCAGGGGGAGAGCCTTCTCTGTGGGGGCTCCCACCCTCTGGAATCAGCTCCCCCCAGAGATAAGGAGAATCCAAGACCTCAGTGCCTTCTGTCGCGCCCTTAAAACCCATTTATTTAAACAAGCCGGGCTGGCTTAAGATGAAATTTTTAACTGTTTTTAAATGTTTTAAACGTTTTTAATTGGTAAATGAGTTTTAATTGGGCCAAATTTATATATCTTTTAATTGTTTTTAATATTTGTTCTGCATGTTTTTTAATCTGGCTGTACACCGCCCTGAGTCCTCAGGGAGAAGGGCGGTATAGAAATCCAATATAAAATAAAAATAAAAAATAAAAATATAAAATAAGTAATATAAATAGATTGTACAAATAATTATTTTAAGTTAATAAATTCTAGGTTCTAATCCTAGTAAAGAGTATTGGTGTAGGTAAATACAATAAGTTAATGAAGTCTGAGTTCAGGTCTTAATAAAAATTGAATATAGATAAATATGATAAATATAAATAGGAATAGATTACAATAAATATAAATAAATATGAAATACTATATAATACTGTACTATGAATATAAACACTATATAATAATTAATTAGTAGGATACAATTCCCGATTCTTGTATATGATCAGACCCTATTTTTTTTTTTTTTTATCTAGTAATACTTATAGAGGTCTGAATTCTCATATATAATCAACCCCCCCTTTTTTTTAATATTAAATATATATATATATATAATATATATATATATATATATATATATATATATATATATATATATGTAATTTTTCCCTTTTGTTTATATCTATAAGATAGCTTAACAAATCTAATTTTTAATATTTATCAATTTGAAAAGAGAAACAGAGTTCAATTATTACTATCCCAGATATTCAAGAGAAGGATAAAGAAAATGTTAACATATATGGAAATGTGGGTATAAGTGTGTTATTTTACGGAGTTATGGGGTATAAATAGGAGGTCTTCAGTTTCTTCAATTTCCCGCTTTGCTGGGATCCAGCCAAACTCTATGATATTAGTCTCTGCCAGAACGTCTTCTTGTTCAACCACTGCTCTTCCACTCTTCCGGATTAATGGACGTACTTCCTGTTTGATAGGAGCCTCAAACAGCCAGTCACTGTATTGCTCCTGCTCTCTTCCACTCGATCCCGATATAAAAAGCCAGTCCCAGCAATGGACTTTCTTTTCTCCTTTGCTCCCTCGCCACACCGCACCTTCCAAAACTCCTTACAGATACGATCCACTCCCTCGTCTGCTCTTCAGCTTATCAGATCGGATCGCCGGGAGTACAGGCTGCTCTGTCCTCTCTGTCACTGCCTCTCACCGCTCTGAGCGCTCCTCTCCCAGCTCCACCGACCTCCTCTTTACCGCACGATCTCAGGTATAGGGGAATAGGCTTAAATCCGTCACCGCACCTCCGATCTTCTTCTAAGCTTCCCGTCTTTGTTGGTTATTGCTGCTTCGTGCCCACCATGAATGGCCGCTCACCGCGTTGGCTAGGCAGAGCCGCCTGGTCCAGCGAGAGGTGATCGCACCCACCTCCCGCTCGTCCGGCTTCCTCTTTTGCCCGCAGGGCTCTCCGGGTCCCGCGTCCCCCGAGGGGATCCCCAAAACGCGATGCTAAAGGGTGTTGAGGAGCAGTAAGCACTCACTCACACCCTGTCACAGCAAATCGCCAACCGGAAGTCCCCTTCTTGGCAATATTTTATGACAGTTCATTGTAGGCAATAAGTCTCTTTTAATTTAGGAACTCTTCAATATGTATACATGGTACACAGAAATGCATCGTAGGCATATGTAGCCAAAGTTAAAATTTATTTCTTTTTAGATTTTTATCCCACTTTATTTTTTCAGGTAGTCCTTGACTTATGACCACTTGTTCAGCAACAATTCAAAATCACTATGATGCTGAATGAGGGGGACTTGTGATTGGTCCACAAATTACAACATAGTGTTTCCACAGTCACAATTGCGATCAGGGTGCCTGGGCCCACCTTGTGATTATAACATTGCAATGCATTGTGGCCATGTAATTGCTATTCGCAACCTTCCCTACCAGCTTTGCAGATGACACTAAATTGGCAGGAGTAGCCAACAACCCAGAAGACAAGCTCAAGATACAAAAAGATCTTGACAAATTTGAACAGTGGGCCCTATCCAACAATATGAATTTCAATGCGGAGAAAAGCAAAGTTTTACATTTAGGCAGGAAAAATCCAAGGTTTAAGTATAGATTAGGAGAGATCTGGCTCAAAAACAGTAACTGTGAGAGGGACCTTGGAGTCTTAGTGGATGATCACTTGAATATGAGCCAGCAGTGTGCAGCAGCAGCCAAAAAAGCTAATACAATCCTGGGTTGTATAAACAGAGTCATAGAAGCAAGATCACGTGAAGTATTAGTACCGCTTTATAAAACTCTAGTAAGATCACCCCTGAAATACTGCAACCAATTTTGCTCACAATGTTGAGACTTTGGAAAAAGTTCAGAGAAGAGCAACTAAGATGATCAAAGGCCTGGAGGCTAAAACATATGAAGAACACCTGCAGGATTTGGGTTTGGCTAGTCTAAAGAAAAGAAGAATTAGGGGGGGACATGATAGCAATATTCCAGTACTTGAGGGGCTGCCGCAAAGGAGAGGGGGTCAAATTATTCTCCAAAGCACCAGTGGGCAGGACAAGAAACTATGGTTAGAAACTAATCAAAGAGAGAAACAACTTGGAATCAAGGAGAAACTTCTTAACAGTGAGGACAATTAAACAGTGGAACACCTTGCCTCCAGAAATCGTGGGCGCTCCATCACTGGATGTTTTTAAGAAGAGTCTAGACAGTCACTTATCTGAAATAATATAGGTTCTCCTGCTTGAGCAGCGGCTGGACTAGAAGATCTCCAAGGTCCCTTCCAGCTCATTCATTCTAAAGTAAAGCTTCCCACAAGCAAAGTCAGTGGGAGACTGAAGGGAAGATCACAAGTTGCTCCTGCTGCTTTTTCTTCCACTATGGAATAGAAGATCCCAGGGTTCTTATCCTCTGTTGCGAAACTCTTCCCTCCCACAACACACACACACACAAAATTCCCTGTACCTGTCTGTTGCTGTTGCCTTCCCATCCATGGCATCCACCCACTCCTTACCTCTTCCCATTTGACTTGGATGATTCTGGGGTTATAACGCAATGGAGATTGCCAGTATTACTATTACTAAGCAACACAGTCATGTGATGTGACACTGTATGATGCATCGCTTAGTGATGGCAATCCTGACGTTAATTTCCATTGTAACATTAGGACTAGCTGTAGCATTCATACTTAATGTTTCTATCTCTTGTCTCCTGTCTCTTTCTATCTCCTGAAGCCACCCTCTTAGATGGGTTGGACTGAGAGTGCATGATTGGCTCAAAGCCATTCAGTCAGCTTTCATGCCTATAGGAGAACTAGAACTCGCTGTTTTCTGATTTCTAGCTCAGCATTTTAGTCATTATATCAAACTGTCTCTTTGTCAAACTCCACCTATTATTATAATTATGTTCCTTACATCCCTTCAAATTATCTTGACCAATAAAACAGGTTGCTAATCTGAAGATTTGCAGATGCAAAGTTAGGCACATCTATTAAGACATCACAGGACAAAAAGATCCAAATCGCATCCTAATATTTCCATTAGGAAATGGGGGAAACAAAATCTGCACCGATAAAAAAAATCTTTATAGGTATCTTGAAGACTTATTTTGTTCTTATACTGTACATTCTGAGAAGAGTGATCTGGCCAACAGTCTTACCTGACTTCATAGCCTGCCTCAAATGCAGATGGTTCTAGTTTTGTTTGCCATTCAAGAGGTTCTTTAAAGACAAAAGCTGCTTCCTGGGGATGCTTGCTACTAAACGTTTCTGTGAACTTGATAATTTCATTCAAAAGAGATTCGTTCAGGGGGGTAATTTCTAAGGTGCCCGTTCCAGATCCAGCCGCGGTCCACTGAGCTGCTCTAGTCAAGGCTACTCCCATGGCTTTTGAGCATCCCAGAGTCTTGGCAGAAAGATGCTAAAAACAAGAAAAGAAACATTGCAGACCAAAGTGTGTTATGTTGAATATACAGTACACCTACTTGTTCGCAGCTGCTTACCAGACTGAGCCGATTGCCGGTTCGCTCCGTAATTGTTAGAATCTAGGAAGATACGGCCTAGTCCCCCACTCTTTCTGTTGCAGAGCTAGCGCCGCTGGTTGCCATGGGGACGTTAGTTCTTCGGTTGCTAGGAGCTTTCTCCTGTAGTAAACAACGCGCGTGGTAGGCTGGACCGTCCCCTTTGTCTCGTGCCGGAGTTCTTCCCCGGCGTTCATTGGTTGTTTTGGATTCTACCCAGACGAGGATCCGCCGCCTTCGGGACTGTCTGGCTCCATCATATTTCCTTTCTTCCTTAACCGACTGTTTGAGCTGTCAATCATCTCCCTCTCGCCTTTACATGCACGCTCACGCAGGGTTTTTTTTTGTTGTTTTTTTGTCTTGTTTTGCAGATTTCCTAGCTGACATTTATTGTTATCTTCTATTTCAGTGACTTCGTCAAACGAATGGCATGGCTGCCAGCAAGCCAGAGGCTGCGTGAGACGGAATGCACTTCCCATGATCCCCGGTCAGCATATCAAATGGACAAGAGCCAGGGGCGTTGCAATGCAAAATATTTTAAAAAGCAGCATGTCGAAAAAAGAACTAGGATTAATTCGGGCAGTCCTACAGTATTAGTAGGAGCTTGGCTCTTCGTAACTCTGTGCGGCATACAAAATAAAGCAGACTAAACACATACAAACCAATTAGAAAACAACTGCTTTAAATTTAAAAAGATGGGAAAGAATAAGATAAAATAAAAGATATATTTCTATGGTCTTTTATGTCCCAAGATAAGTCAATTATATAATTGTTATATAACTGTTTTCGAACTGTAAATTACACATGCTACTTAAATTATAATTTTAAATTAACATTAATATGGGGCAGGATGAAATTTATAACTTTTTAAATCCTATCTACTTTTCTAAAAAAGCTTAAATATGTTTATAGGATTGCCAAAGGAATATGATTTCCAATTAACTATTTTACAAATCTGCTATATTTAATACTGCCTTATAAATTAATTTTACTGAAAGAAGTACTTATATGAGAGCATTTTCTGTCATATATTTGTTAGTTCTCTGTATTTCATTAACAATCCTTATCAAGTTAAATATATTTTTTTCTTTTTTAAACTGTACTCAACAAAATACAGTGTAATTCTAAAATGAACACTTTTTTGAGCCCCAACAATGGGCCTAATTTAGTCAAGACTGTTTTCTTTTTTAAAAAATATGAGCAAACTTCAAAGTGTATTCATTGAAAAAAATAAACTGAATTTATTTTGCTATATTTCATATTTGTATCATATACATTCAAACTAACCATTTATTTATTTATTTAGCTCATGGCATCTACAGAGGTTACGCAATCACTGATATACAAATTTAGTTTAAATTAAAAGTAATCAATAACACGACAGCTTTTATTATATCTACAAATGCTCTAAATCTTGCAGTAGCTTTTTAAAGAAATTTTAGGTGTGATCATAAATTATATATATAATTTATATTTGCATTACCCAAAAATAAGCAGTTATTTTTTTCCTTGAAAATTCTTTCCATGATTATTAGAATTAGTTCCTCAGAGTAGTAGCTATCATACGAGGTTTGTTGCAGCCAAAATAACAGTAACCTTATAGAACTTTGACATGAATACAATTAAGCTAAATATAAATATATAAATAAATAAAAATAATGAAGCTTTCTGCTGATATAGGACTATATATACATTGCTAAGTTTTATATGGAAGAATGATGTGGAATCAGAAGGAGATTTATGTCCCAAAAATCCATCTACATTCTTTTCCCAGATTTCTAAATACAATAATTTATATTTAGCTGTACTGGAATATGATCTAAAATTAAATAAAAAAATAGAGCAGTATAAAGTTGTTAAATAGCCTAGGCTGCCAATTCTTTTATATAAATATATTACCTTACCCACTTTTTTTCTCTAGTAGAGCTTCATAAAAGGAAGCTTTGCCTATGAATTATTATTATTATTTTATTTCTATACCGCCCTTCTCCCGAAGGACTCAGGGCGGTGTACAGCCTATTAAAAACACAAAAATATACAGACATCAATTAAAAAATAATTAAAATTATTAAATAATTTCGGCCCAAATTAAAACCCAAAAATTTAAAACACCCAATTTAAAATCATTTACATTGATAGCCCAGCCTGGCGGAAGAGCAGGGTCTTGAGGGCACAACGAAATACATGGAGGTCGGAGATCTTGCGCAATTCTGTATAACTGAATAACTCTTGCATTACATCTGATGATAAATGAATCCTCCCAGTTTCTTTAAAAGCATGGAAATCCACTTAAATATGTTTTAGGACTTATTGCATTCTGATAAGATAGTGATTGGCATTTAATTTACTTGCACAAAGGACAGGGCTGAATTCAGAAGAATTGAAGCCTAATGTTATAAGAAGTTTAAGTTCTTAAATTCTTCATTAGGTACAAGTATTTATATCTATTTGTAAGTAAAATAATTCTTGGAAGCTGTAAACTCAGAACAGAGGTGGCCGCTATAGTTTTCTTTGATTCATCTAGGGTAGCAAATGCTACAAATGCCTGTATGTAAATCAGCTTGTTAGAAAAAGCTTGTTTAAGATTGTAAATTACCCACAGTTACCCTGTGGTAAAATGGGCAGCCAATAAATTTTACAAATAGATAGATAGATGAGAGAGATAGAAGATAGATGATAGATAGATAGATAGATAGATAGATAGAATAAAGATGAAGAAATGTAATTCACACAGCAGCCTGCCTATATTTATATGCTTATTTCCTTTAGAAAAAATTTAAAATATTGTGCTTCAGATTTATAATTTTTTAACTCCAATTTTAAAAGTCTGAAATAATATATTTCTGCTTTATAAAAAGATGCCAGCCATAAATGCCACTGAAACATCAGGACACAAAAAAACTAGACAAGGGCCACTCAGCATAAAGCTCATCACTGCTTGACTCATGATGATCTTGAAAGCCTTATACGAGTATATTGCTCTTCATCGCTTTTCATCTCACTCACAAAGAGCTCCATGGAGTCTCATCCTGAAACCAGCCTAGATTTAAGTTCTCTGCCTCATTCTGATCTCCTACAATGTGTTTACCCAAATATGCTCAGTTAGCAAGGCTGATTGGCCCTGTACTCCCAGGAATCCTCAAGACAAAATAATCAGAAGAAAATTATATTCTGCCAGAAAAGCAGCCATTCTGTTATTAGTCAGGTTTCTTTTTCTCAGCCTGCACATTGTACATAGTGAAAGCCGTAGCTAGAAAATAATGTTATGCATTTGTCAGCCTTAAAAATAGATAAATAAATAAGCAGCACTCTAAAACAATGACAATTGAAATCTAAAACATTTTTGCATTATCAGCTAGCTTAAGATAAAATGACAAAGAAATAAAATACCCAGTGATGAAGGCAGTTTTTGATTTCTCAGATGATTGTGATTTGCTAACTGGTTCCCAATTAGATGACACTGATAAAAGAAGGAACACCAAATCTAAAGATAAATTTAAGATTTGGTTCATTGCTTGACATTTCTATGGCTTGTTGAGTATTTATTTGACTGCTACTGAGCTTATGGGTCATGGGATGCTTCTGAAATTTCAGTTGCTCAGATGTTTCTATTACATTTATGTTGTAATATTTCTATGACACCATTCAGAACATCTCTGGGCAGCGTATAATATTAAACTTTAAATATAAACATTGATCCCTTAATAGCTAACTTTGCCAAAATAGAGCAACTTTGCCAACCTCCCCACCCTAGAATAAAAATAAATATCAGAACATAACATTTATCCATGATATAACAGTAATATAGGATTAGATCAGGTTATTAGCAATAGAATTTAATATCAGAAGAATCATGTTCATAGTAGTAGTAATGTTATTTAGTATGGGCTTAGAACTAAATGCAATACTGGTAGATATAAAATATACAGTACTATGTGAATCAATGTCAACAACGAAACAATAAATGTAATAAACAATAAACATTTTCTAGTAGTATACAATGGTCAGTCCAAAACATTTTCTAATACCTGCACAACCATAATGTAAACCTTGGAAATATGACCAAGAATGTTATTGTGGCTTCATAAGTTTTTTTTTTTAAATAAAAAAGTGTTTTAAGAGCCTATTTAAGTAATTTATCAACATGAAATAGAAGCATTTAGAATACTATACCAATAATTTCAATGCTTACTGCAATAAATCTGATAGTATCTTTACAGTACTTCATAGAATGTTTTATATATATATATATGTACTGTATATGTATATATGTATGTATGTATGTGTATGTATGTATATATATATATATATATATATATATATATATATATATTCCAATCAAAGTTTAGTATTTTATAATTTTTAATGCTTTTATTCTTTATAGCTTTAACCAATATTGGAAATATTGAAAAGCTGCTCAGAAAGGGCTTCATTCTAAAGACCATAGAGGGAATTGTGGGCTGCTTGAACGATAGGAGAATTCTCTTATATTGCCTTCTCAATGGCAGCCACTCTGTGTGTAGTAGATCTATCAGAGGGAATTCACAGTGGAGCAGCTGGCTCAGGGACAGCCTAACAGCTTCTCTATCACTCCAATGCCCTCTATTCATTTTGTTGTCATAAATTTGCAAGGTAACCTGGTTAGTCTGCAGACTGTAGTTATATTGGTCACCTCTTAGGCCTTTACTTGATTGAGCGTTTTCTTTATGAGTGTTCACATTTTTGGAAGGAAGACAAGGGCCTTTCCAGTTTCATTTCCTGAATTAACCATCCCATATCTATCCCTGGTTGTCCTCCTAAATCCTGCAGTATTTGGGTGGCTCTTAATAAACTTGCAAAAGATTCTTTCAGGCAGTCAACCTTGTTTATGACAGGTGATAAAAGTTCATAGATTGAGTTTACAGTTTGAGCTGTAAACAAACATTGTCTAGAGGAAATCTGTCACATTTCCCTCCTTTAAATTTATTATATCTCCCTCTTGTGCAGGGAAAGCTGCTGCTGAGTTCCAAGGAGGGGAACCATTTTCTGAGAGAGAGGAAGATAGTTCTACATGTTGTTTGCTTTCAAGTTCGTTTTGTAAGTTCCATTCCAATGAGTCACATAAATTAAATTTATCTGATAAGGCGACTGTAGATGAGTTACTTACTGGAACAGACTGTCTGTTTGCAGTATAACCTTCCATTTTCTGCTGCTTCAATGGCTTGGATGAACTCTCTGCTGTCTCTTTCTCCTTTTCCCCATTCTTAAAAATCCTGGCTTGTAGTATTGTTAAAATGTATATAAAACAAAAGGTAGCCACAATATATGTGCTTTTGTAAAAAGTCCAGTATAGATTAAAAATAGATTAAAAATTAGTTTAAAATATAAAAATACTTGTATATATATAAAAGAAAAACAGAGACCTGATTTACTTTTGGAAGAGCTCTTTACAGCCATTGCTGCCTGTCCTCCATCTTAGCTCTCTCAACTTGGAGATCAACCACTTGTAAATCTGCTTTGGGGAAAATGTGATCCCAAGACAATTAATCAAACTACAAGATGCTCAGATCCTAGTTTTATTTGATATAAAGATTTCAATCCCACTTACAAAAATAACAGTCATAAAAGAATATCTTAATTAAATTGATATATGAGGTGGTAGTATTACATACATATTTCATTCTTGGAAAACTGTACATATATAGATAATTATGCACCTAAAGCTTATTCTGTTACACCCTAAGTAAACTAGGTTTAGTGTTGCTGTTTTTAAAGCACTGTTTCAAGGAAGAATCGTATCAGAGCACATTTATGAAATGAAGCTGTTAGATTGGACAAAAAGGTTCACGTATCTAAATAACCTTGGATGCTTACAAATGTGATTGAACACACAAGGAATTTTTCCCAGGGGCATAAGCTCTCAGTGTACATATAGAAACAACAAAGTGATATAATCATAAGATACCAATATGAGAAGGTAATAGGAAAGATGAGAAGGATGATAGTAATATAGCCCTAGTACATAGGTAAATATCCTTAGGCACGTAGTAGGACTGTATTACTATTATCTTCTCATCTTTTTAACTTTTTAATTCATTAGCTGTAACCAAATCTGGCAACAGCCAATTGCCTAAATGCAATTAGGTAGGCCTCAACTTTCAACCAGAATTGGGACTGGAAATGTAGTCTTAAGTCGTGATCATACATCAAGGAACCCACATGATGGAAATAATTTTCTCACACTTTCAGTGGTGGCTGTCAAGCAAATGTTGCAATTGTCAAGAGAGCACCAATTCATTTGAATGAGGTTTTTTTGCTGTAAACTGACACAAAATGCCAGAAACCAGCAAAAAGCATCACAAATCACAGTCGCATGGCAGGGGAACTCTGCAACCAGTCATAACGCTCACTTGCCCAACATGCGATTCCATGATCATCAGCACAGCCATTTACCATGGCAAGAGTGCTGTAAAACATCTCTTCTGCAGGTGTTGTAACTTTGATAAAATGACCAATAATAAGCTGACTACTACCTAAATTAATTAAGAATTATGTCATGCCTGGTTTAATGTTATTAATTACTTTCACAGAAGGAATTTTATTGTATTATACATGCACAGGATGACCATCTCATGAAATAAGCTCAATTATTTGATTTTGGTGGATCATCAGACTTGGGATGCTTCAAAACCACCTGGACGGACTTTCCCATCTCAGCCCCTCATAAAGCATTTAAAATTGACCTGTTATTAATTTTAACTTTATTGACTTCAAAATGACTGCCAGGAACAAATCTGTGTTTCGTAGCTTTTATAAATAGAAGATGGAAGATGTCTGAGCTAGTGCCAGCCCTGGTTTAACAAAAATCCTATCACTCTGAATTCCTCAGGGCATTCACGAGGAGGCAAAAAAAAAAAAAAGTCAAGATGGTGACTGGGACTATTTATTTGTTTGTTCGTTTATTTATTTATAAATTTTATTGGCTGCCCACTTTACCATAGAGTAACTCTGGGTGGCTTACAGTTACATATAAGTTTAAACATAAAAAGTTAAAATCAGACATTAAGACATTAAGAGGCACACTGAAGCAATGACTCCTCCAAGAAGAAAGAAAGCTGCCCTCAAACTGTGTAGAGTCATAGCAGTTCTTTAGAAATCACTCACTTTGCTAGTTTCAAAAACACCAGAGAAGACTCAGTAATGAATCAGTTGGGTCTGCCCATTCTCAGGAATTGACTAACTAGGAAGCTGAATTAATTTAATCCTAAACATTTTCTAAATATGGTAGAAAAGAATGCATTTGTCAGCTTTAGTTAATTTTATCTTTATAAAATTAGGCCTATAGCAGCATCTCTCAGAAATAGGCAGATGTTACTATTGTGGTCCTTAATAAAGCAAAGAACCAAACAGACCCAAATATTTTAAGGCTCTATTTCTCAATCTGTGGGATTCCTGACCTGTTGGATCTGCTGAAAATTCTTTGGCTTCTGTTGGATGGAAATTCTAGGAGTTGAACTCCCACCTCATCCAAGAACAGTCAGTTTGGGATGGCAGTTTGAAAGACAGAACACCAAAACACAAATGGTCTCAGTTGTGAATTAAGTTGGTTGCAGTGGGGAAAAAAAGTTTTTCCGGTAGGATTTAGTGTGACATGGGGAAAGTATGTGATTTTCTGAGCAAGTTGTCTAGCCAAGGGATGATGCCTTCAACAATCTGCAAGGGGAAAAAAAGGCCTGCTTGAAGTGAGACATACTTTTGGGGGGATAATAAATCAAGGATTTATTAATACTCAGGCAGTTGCTTCTCTTCTGCATGACAGAGCAGGAGATTTTGCAGGACACTTGGAGAAATGGGTTCCAGATGGGAATGCATGGCAATGCAGTGTCCAAGATTTAATGTGATTTAGAAGAACTTAACCAGTAAAAGAGAAGGAGATTAAATCAGAAGAGCATCTTGTGCTTGTTTTCCAGCTTCTCAGCTCTGTGGCTCTATTGACTTCATAAAACAGATCACTTCAGCAACTCTTTTATAAAGGAGAGTGACAAACAAGATCAAATGAGGAAATTATGGCTGAAGAAGATTCATTTCTGTCCTTGATGGAATGATGACCTATAGAAACATGCCTTATAGTGGTGGTATTAAAATCAGTATGGTCACCTTTGTAAAAACAATCTACGAATCTCTTTTCAGCATTATGGTGAAAAGATTAGAGCATATACAGAGTGTACCTAACTCAATTTTTAATTCCCTGAAGAGCTGAGTTCCATAGTGTACTACCTGCAAAGATAAAGCCTTTTAGATAAAGGCTAATTGCCAAATAGGGGGGTATTGCTTGTAACTTAAAATGTGTATTGTGAGCAACCTAATGTGAGATAGCAACCCCTAACAAAGCTCTGGGCTATATGCCAGAAAATGTATCCTTCCCCTTTCTGAGGTCCATTGTTTTCAGAGCACTAAGAAAATCATGAGGTTTGCATGAACCATGGATATGAAATAATGTTTCTATAGCAATGACGATCTATGTCAGTGATGTCTAACCTTTTTGCCGTTGCATGACAAAAGCAGGGGAAGTGTGGAAGGGTCGTGCGCGCATGCCCACACCCATAATTCAATGCGCCCTGCCCCCTACGCATGCACATGAGACCCCCCCCGCTCCCCCCGCTTTTGGCACACGATGGCAATGCTTGTGTGCCCACAGATATGGCTCCACGTGCCACCTGTGGCACATGTGCCATAGATTTGCCATCACGGATCTATGCAAACAATATGTGTAGAATATAAAAAGGAAAAAAGTTTTAGTTAGCGCGCATGCCTGCTTTTCTCTCTGCTTTGCTATTTAAGGTGGGAGATTAAAGGCTGCCCAGTTTTGCTTTCTGATCAAAAATAAAACTGATTATCAGTTGCCTCGTGTTCAGAGTTTCATTGGATTTATCAGATTCTGAGCTCCACTCAAAAACCTTACAATGGTCTGGTCCTCTTAATATATTGTTTCTTTTGGAGAACTTAAAATGTAGAATGTATAACTAGTAGAAGTTCACAGAGATTTTTGCTAAATAGATCAGTTAACCAAACTGGGCATTCACAATTTGTTTTATAGCTAATTCTCCTTTATTTGTAAGGCTACGTTAACAGAATCTTGCAAGTTGAAATTACAAATTTACCATCATCCCTTTTAACCACCCAATCAACTAGGGTGGTCCTTCCTGAATTTTTTCCTCCCGCCATTAAGTCCTCTCTTTTTTGTCTGATGGTTTCCTAGGCAACATCTCCTCCCTTTGTCCCTCAAGATCATTCTCATACGCCATTAAAAGGATGCATGGCTTGTTCTCCCCGCTTGTAATCTTTAGCTCTTTCTACTCATCAATTGGAAAAGTCAGATCTGAAAGAAAGAACATGTTGTGGATTCTGTCCATGAAGAAATGTCATTTGTGGGGACCAGGATGAAAGCCTTTCTACTGCATTCACTCTGTAGAATATAATTATACAGCCACTCAGAGTTGCTTCAACAATGAGACTGGTGGCATATATATTTAATAAAACAATAAGATTCCCCCTTGGTGTCAAATTGGTCCCAATCTTGCTGAACAGTGGCTTAGCTATCTGCCTGGGGATTTGGGAACAGGGATGTGACACCTATAAAACAGCTGTATTACTAGGAAAAATAAGTAAAAGTAACAGAGTCGGAAGGGATCTTGGAGGTCATCTAGTCCTACCCCCTGCTCACCCAGACCTGTTCTAGGGATTTGAACCTCCGAACTGCCGACCTTTCTGATGGACAAGCTCAGTGTCTTAGCCATGAGCCACATATGAGTGTGCTACCTCACAGATTAATATTTTTAATGATTTGTGTGGTTACTTTTTGGTTATTTGGTTATATTGTTTTTGATGTTTTTTTTTTAAAAAGCAACAACTTTGGAGCTGACTCAGAATCCCATATGTAAAATAGGCTGCTACACAAATTTACCAAACAAATACATAAACGATTGTTGTGCCAATATAACAATAATGATAATGAAGCGATGCATTATATCACTTCACTGTGATGTGATAAAGATGGTTCAAAGTATTCCTTGAGAAATGGCAAGCGAGGGAAGAACTCGTGTAAGGAAAATAGGCAAGAAATTTTACTTAATAAAAAAATGGGGA